AAGATGAAGCAGCTCACAATGCCAGTGCTGGGATGTGTGATTGCCTCATGGCTCATAGGGATGATGAGGTCAGTCCACTCTCTGCACTGCAGACAGGAAATAATAAGGGCTTAAATCTCACTCAGCAAGCTATATGGGATGCCCATGGAGAGAAGCAGCAGCCAAGAGGAAAAAGACCCTCATAGCAAATTATAATAAACTGTCTGGGATATTGAATAAATGCAAAAAACAAGAAATTCCTTCATTATTTCTTCTCTTAGTAGGCTCCTGTGTGTTGTTGAAAATGGATATTGTTTACATTAGACGTACATTTTTGCAGATACTTTCAGGATTGTTGCATTGTGTAGATAATCGGTGAAAATGGTAGGCCCTCAAGCACACCAAAAAGGTTTGCATCAAAAGCACTAGAAAAGAGAACCATGTTTTATGATTATGTAAAAAGCAAAATACACACAACTAACAGGAGACCTCAGAAGAGTCATATCCATTCAAATGAAGTGATTTAAGGAAACAGAGTGATGCTTTGAAAGCTTCACAGAGCCACAGTGTTTACAATCAGGGAAATACAAATAGCTTACTTTCACACCATCTTAACATCTTAACATTTTAGCAGGAGAAAAATAGCTGCTACAGGCTGTATAAACAGCCAAATGACCATTTAAAGGTTTTATACATTGATTTATATTAGAAGTGCAAATCAATTCAACATTTTAACTAATCATAAATATATTTACACATTGAATTAATGTAACACACATTACAAATTAATGTAGATTTAATGTAGATTAATATCTTTTTTTCGAGGCACTGCCAATACAAATACCCATATTAAATGCATTTAATTAATTAATTTTTTATTCAAATTTTGATAGAAGTAAGTCATATGTACACCAATGACTAGTTAACAATTTAATAACAATACTTTTATGTGAGAATCTATTCTCTCTAAATAACACCAGTACCGCAATTTTGGGGGAAAAAAAATCATAGCTTCACGAAGTAAAAAAAAAAGCAATGCATTTGTGAATTATTTTAAAAGCATTGAACAGCCAATATTAATTGCAAAAATTAATATGTAATTTTCTCCAGCCCTAGTTAACGGAGAAAATCGCCTTTAAAGTTGTCCAAATGAAGTTCTTAGCAATGCATATTACTAATCAAAAATTAAGTAAGCAATATAGTTTTTATTCATTTTTATTTCAGTTTTAGATTGTTATTTTAGTACATCAAGTTAAACTAAATGAAAATGAGAAATGTTGATTGTGGTGCAAATTGCTGAGAGGTAATCATCATCTGTGTAAAAAATTGCATAAATAATTTTCACCAGAATACTTAACTAAAACTAAAATCATAAAACATTTTCATTAATTTAAATAATATATAACCATGAACTGAAATAAAATAAGTTTAAGTTTTTTAGTTTTTTTTCCCAATTAGCATTTATTTTAAGTAACAAAAATGCTTTTTATGGTTTTAGTTGTAGTATAGTACATATTATATTAACTACAAATATATATTTTTCATAATAAAAGTTAACTGAAATAAGGTTTTTAAAATAGTTTATCTTAATTCAACTAACATTTATTTTAAATAACTAAAATGTTTTTATGGTTTTAGTTTTAGTTAAATATAACAACCCTGGTGACATTTATTACATTTTTTATGCAAATTATGATTATCCCTTTATCAGTTTTTTTTGCACCATGAGAAAAAAAGCCCCTAATAAGTTTTATAAAAAGTTAGTATACTTGTTCACAAAGAAGACAACAGTGTCTGCTGGAGATACCAAAAATTATTTTCGAGATGTGCAGCACCAAGATGAAGCAGCTCACAATGCCAGTGCTGGGATGTGTGATTGCCGCATGGCTCATAGGGATGATGAGGTCAGTCCACTCTCTGCACTGCAGACAGGAAATAATAAGGGCTTAAATCTCACTCAGCAAGCTATATGGGATGCCCATGGAGAGAAGCAGCAGCCAAGAGGAAAAAGACCCTCATAGCAAATTAGAATAAACTGTCTGGGATATTGAATACATGCAAAAAACAAGAAATTCCTTCATTATTTCTTCTCTTAGTAGGCTCCTGTGTGTTGTTGAAAATGGATATTGTTTACATTAGACGTACATTTTTGCAGATACTTTCAGGATTGCTGCATTGTGTAGATAATCGGTGAAAATGGTAGGCCCTCAAGCACACCAAAAGGGTTTGCATCAAAAGCACTAGAAAAGAGAACCATGTTTTATGATTATGTAAAAAGCAAAATACACACAACTAACAGGAGACCTCAGAAGAGTCATATCCATTCAAATGAAGTGATTTAAGGAAACAGAGTGATGCTTTGAAAGCTTCACAGAGCCACAGTGTTTACAATCAGGGAAATACAAATAGCTTCACGAAGTAAAAAAAAAAAAGCAATGCATTTGTGAATTATTTTAAAAGCATTGAACAGCCAATATTAATTGCAAAAATTAATATGTAATTTTCTCCAGCCCTAGTTAACAGAGTGGGAGGAAAAACCTATTCAAAAATTATAGATACAATTAACTGCCTAGAGGCTAAAATTCAAAGATCTGCACTCAGCTAAAATCCTGTGAACAGTAGTCACACAGATATGCACACTTTAGGCATCTGCATGCTCACTGCTCACCATCTCACCAACATTTCAACTGCCAACAAATGTAAATCTTTTTTTCTTTTCTTTAAATGCACTTGTGCACTGGGTTGTGCAATGCAGCAGATGTGGGGGGAAACACAAGGAACGATAAAGCTCAAATATACACAAAAAGTCACTCACAGTATAGGGATGATGGTTCTCTGATGATGGAGATCCTATTTAGTCTATCCACCCAGCGATGTTTGTGGGACCAGATCAAGCCCTTGACCTGTAATCCACCACCAGTCAAATATAGTCAACACATCACCTGAAAGCTGAATAAATAAGCTTTCCATTGATGTATGGTTAGATGGGATAGGACAATATTTGGTCGAGATACAACTATTTGAAAATCTGGAATCTGAGAGTGGAAAAAAATCGAAATATTGAGAAAATCGCCTTTAAAGTTGTCCAAATGAAGTTCTTAGCAATGCATATTACTAATCAAAAATTAAGTAAGCAATATAGTTTTTATTCATTTTTATTTCAGTTTTAGATTGTTATTTTAGTACATCAAGTTAAACTAAATGAAAATGAGAAATGTTGATTGTGGTGCAAATTGCTGAGAGGTAATCATCATCTGTGTAAAAAATAGCATAAATAATTTTCACCAGGATTATAATACTTAACTAAAACTAAAATCATAAAACATTTTCATTAATTTAAATAATATATAACCATGAACTGAAATAAAATAAGTTTAAGTTTTTTTTTCCAATTAGCATTTATTTTAAGTAACAAAAATGCTTTTTATGGTTTTAGTTGTAGTATAGTACATATTATATTAACTACAAATATATATTTTTCATAATAAAAGTTAACTGACATAAGGTTTTTAAAATAGTTTATCTTAATTCAACTAACATTTATTTTAAGTAACTAAAATGTTTTTATGGTTTTAGTTTTAGTTAAATATAACAACCCTGGTGACATTTATTACATTTTTTATGCAAATTATGATTATCCCTTTATCAGTTTTTTTTGCACCATGAGAAAAAAAAGCCCCTAATAAGTTTTATAAAAAGTTAGTATACTTGTTCACAAAGAAGACAACAGTGTCTGCTGGAGATACAATATAAGACGTGTGTGAAGAAAAAAAGGGTAAATTTAAATTGTGAACATAACATCAAGCTGTAATTTTGTCAAATTATACAAACATTATTAAAGTATAAAATGTATGTACTTTGGATAACTGCTATAAAATTGGCCCTAACAAGACAGTTTATATAGACTTTTGGTTAAAGACACATTCAGGAAACTAGT